TGAATGAATGAATATTTTATTGATTATCCCTAAAAAGGGCTTTTCAGAATCAATATACTACAATAGTTAAACTGAAGAGTGTAATAGAATCTAAGATAGTAAAGTTAGAACTGCTATATTAAAACTATATTTACATTGTCTATTTAATACTTTAACATACATGAAATTATTGGTCGATTAAAATTGTCTTAATAATTCTTTCTTTTAATTAGTACTCTAAAATACATATAGTTATTGGTCCATCCGAAACTGTCTCAATAACTTTTTCTTCAAGTTAAGTTTAAAAACACTAATTGATCCGCATAGTTTAATGACAGGAGGTAACTCATTCCATAGTTTTGCTATACGATACTTAAAGGATTTCTGTCCCTTTACACTTGTAAAAAGTGGTAAATTTAGCTGGTCAGATTGTCTAGTTGTCCGTCTGCTGACAGCTTCTCTTGTAGTAAATAGAGAGCTCAGGTAGTTGGGTGCCAATCCGTTCATACATTTAAATGCGAGCACTGCGTCCCGGTAAAATAAGTGCTTTTTCACCGGGATCCATTGTAATTCCTTTAGGATTGGGGTCACGTGATCATACTTCCGGAGTCCGCCAATGATACGTGCCGCAAAATTCTGCACTGACTGAAGTTTCTTAATGTTTCCCTCGGATGTCGTGGACCAGACAGATGAGCAGTAGAAGAGTTTACTAAACACCAGTGAATTAATGATTGTAATAAGTAATTCTTTATTAAAGTCATGCTTAACTCGGTTAATTTGTCCTAGGGCAGACATGCATTGAGCTGACACTTTAATGATGTGTTCATTAAACTTGCACAATTAAACAGCAACTAAAAATGATAGGTTTTACTAAATCTTTTTCTGTGCAATTATTACTAGCATTGGAGACAAGGATAATAGTTTGTTTGAAAGAGAAAAGAACAGGCTTTGAAGTAAGCCTAAAAGCGTTTAACTAGAAATAGTATTTCGATAGTTATTAAGCACAAAAGATGAATTGCGTTTATTTTGGTACACCCTGTATAGTGTTCGAATTGCATTCGACGTGACCAAAATTCGACGTATAAACGACCTTAAACTCTATCAATTTTATAACTTATGAGAACTAAAGTATGGACGTTCAGCAGCTTCTATTTTTTGTTCCTTACTTTCATCAGGATAGCTTTAGCATATTTTAGCTTGTTCCTAAGAGCTTTTGCATGAAGACATGCTGTTTTGTCTTCTTGAGTAGCAACTTTGTTGTTTTTCAGGTAAAAGTCTTTTTCCCATTGACCAAGTTCTGCACGGAGTAGGTGTTCTTGCTTTGAAATTTTGACCTCCATAACAGCCACCCTTTTCATAAACTTGTCAAGAATGAACTTATCAGAAGGTGACTGCTTATGTTTCTGCCGTGCTTTGTCAAATTTTAAAACTTCAGCTGACTTCCCAAGAACAAACTCAATTCCTTTTCCTAACTTTGTCACACATGTGTCATTACCCATTGTACCAGAATTTGGCATTGCGGTTCCAGGATTTGTAACAACTGCAACTCTTGAACAGCTTGTGCTACCTGTAACAAATTAATGTACATGTGAGTTGATAATCTAAGACATATATGTATTTATATTTTTCTGAGAATGCAGCACAACTGTGTGCTGTGAATATATCAATAACTCATGACTATACAGTCATTGTGTATAAGTGTACAAGTAAAGCACTGGACAAGATTTTACCAGTACTAATTAATAAGGGGGCCTGATTATATGATTCCCATCAGGCGGGACTGGATGCTTACCGAGATCCTGCTCGTAATACAAATTTTAAAGAGTGTTTATATGATCCTGCCATATATCCTGCCTAGACGGGATCTTGGCAACAGATGCCGCCTCAACGAGATGAAAAATAAACACTTCATCCCGGCCGCCTAGCCGAGATGAAAAACTCCCATATAAACACTTCATCCCGACTAGGTGGGATGAACTTTTCCCTTTTGAACATGCATGTTGCCTTTATTGCAACAAAAACATGATGTCAGGCACTTAAATGGCTACATCACAATGGCAACGTCCTGTCTAGGCAGGATTATATAAACAGACCCAAAGTATTGAACAGTTTTGAACAGTACGTACCAGTAATATTAATTAAATTAATGGTTTTCTCCAATGTTGTAGGATCTGATACAACTGTACTATACATGTTGTAGGATCTTGAACAGCCTGTGCTATCTACAATGTCAAAAATAACAGGTAATTTGTTAGCTTGTTTCTATTTTGTGTTTATTTTATATTCTTTGTGTTTATTTATTTATCATTCTTTTGTGATTTTGCACAACTGGTTATATACTGTTAATGTAAGTATTATCATTCTATAAGGTGTGTTAATCTATATATATATATATATATATATATATATATATATATATATATATATATATATATATATATATATATATATATATATATATATATATATATATATATATATATATATATATATATATATATATATATATATATATATATATAGAATTTCGCTTACCTCAAAATTCCGCAACAGTCTGTTTCATCAGTAAAGAATCATGATGAAACAGACTGTTGCGGAATTTTGAGGTAAGCGAAATTCTACATTTGCTCTATCTTTATGATATTGAGCACTCTTTGCGTTTCGTATACACAAACCTACTCGTATATATATATATATATATATATATATATATATATATATATATATATATATATATATATATATATATATATATATATATATATATATATATATAAAAGACAAGCTTGAGTTACTTCGTTTAAAACATTTATTCACAACAAATTTGTTTCAAAAAATCGTACAAAACGCATATATATATATATATATATATATATATATATATATATATATATATATATATATATATATATATATATATATATATATACACGGTTAATATACCAGTAATTACCAAATGGTATTGATGTGTTTTCAGTTGCAATGCTGCTCTTGATTGTTGAATGATTAACTGTCATTTCATCTTTGTGTTGATCATTGTCTTCAGGGTACATGGATGGTAAATTAATGGTCTCATCAGGATGGAGCTCAAATCCAACAATATCTGGCTGTGGAAATTCTTCTGGCACGTAACCTGTATTGTAAAGCATCAACATATACAACCACGTACCTAGGGTATTTTCTCGGGGAGCGAAATACTCTAGTGCACCATGCATGATGTCACCCCCAGATTTTGAGTAAAATAGCATATTTCTACTAGGAAAAATATGATATTTTACCTAAAATCTGGGGGTGGCGTCATCAGTCCATACCAGGGTAATTTGCTCCTTGAGAAAATACCCTGGGTATACAAGCTAGGTTTAACATATACATAGTGAAAAAGGATCTTATAATTTGACAAGTTAACACATTAAAGAGGCATTTCCTTTAATTAATGATTAAAATCATCTCATGTGGCATTAGAGAGACTAAAATAATATTAACTTGGGTGTAATAGGGTGCCTGCATGTACTGTAACCTCGTACTGTACCCAGGGTCTGGCTTCTTGGCGAGGGGAGACAGACCCTTGCTGGTAGACGCTGGTCACATGATCAGCTAAAATCTAGCAGATTTTTAATTAGTAATCCAAGATGAGGTCAATGAATATTTGATATTTGGGTGATTTTTTTTGTTCAATTTATAATTTGCGTTTTGTACGATTGTTGTAAATGAATCCAAGGTAGTTAATTAGAAATCTGCTGGGTTTTAGCAGATCACATGAACAGCGTCTACCAGGGTCTTTTCTCCCCAAGAGGAAAGACCACGTGTACGAGGTTGCCCGTACTGCTCCTTAGGACTAAAAAAATACCTGCGGTTCCGGTTCCCGACCGACCCTATTTTTTTATGCCGACCCTATTATTTTTTCAACGCGATTGACTGTGCAACCTTATTTTCTCCGGGTGGTTGCGGGCTGCTCATACAGCGTGCCAAAATGGCATCTGTTGTCACACTAATTATTGAACCAAATTGCCTAAATTAGTAAATTCGTCCATAGGAATATATTCTAGTACTGTATATTCGTCCATAGAATTATTGAACCAAATATTGCCTAAATGAGTAAATTCGTCCATAGGAATATAGTCTAGTACTGTATCTTCGTCCATAGAATTATTGAACCAAATTGCCTAAATTAGTAAATTCGTCCATACGCATCTCTAGTTAATAGACAGATTTAGAAAAGACGACGCGACCTCAAAGACGACGCGACCTCAAAGACGACGTGACAATGGCGTCAAAATGGCGTGGCACATCCATATATGGACAGAACACGCCATTTTCACGTCGTTTTTGAGGTCGCGTCGTCTTTTCTAAATCTGTCTATTATTGATGTCGGGACAACTACTATCGCAGCCTGACACTCTTGCCGTTCGAAAGGTTCCATAGTGGTTTAGTCAGAGAGATGTTCACTCCTCGACAGTCAACAGTCAATGAAGCTCGAGTGGAATTAGGCGCTCGATACCCATGATGCTTTGCGGCCTGCTGTCCAACCTCCCCAAGCTCTAATTTAATTCAAAGAGCCTGTTCGCAGGCTAGCCCCTTCAAACATTATATATCTTTTTTGTTATCCCAATCGAAAACGCTATTTAGAGTGCTTACAAGCTAGTAGCTTCATTGTTTCATCCTCTATGTAGGTACTCGCGTAAAAACGCTGAGCCCGCTGTTTAGCAGGATTGAACAATGGTTTGCTGCCCATGTTGTTCACACTTGTCAACAATCTTGAGCAACATATTGTTGAGCCTGAATCGGTTGTAACAATATTGTCCAATATTGGTTCAATATTGTTAACAACTGTGAACAATGTATGGACAGCAAAACATCGTTCAATCCTGTTTTCATCAATATTGCAACAACCTGATCGTTTTGAGCCGTGAATTTCAATATGTAGGTAAGGACGCATGCCAGGGAGACAAACGGCGACACGCAAGGAGATTTCCTTTTAATTTAATTTAATTCTAAAAATCACAAATTTGCAAAGATATAACATACACATTCCGATCATATTCTTACAATAACAAAGATAATATAATATAAAATGTTCGCTAAAATCGACTATAAAATTAACTAATAAGACAAATAACACTGACGACTGTTCACGGAACTATAAAACTATAAAATAGTACCTGAAGGGTGGATCTCCTCACGCTCGAACTCTCTAAACAATCGTTTTACTTGCTCTGTTAAAACTCTTTGTAGCTTTTCTATCTCGACTTAAAATTTCTTGTCTTAAATTACATATTGTGCGTCGATGACATATCAGAGGTTGCTAATAATTAACTTAACGGAACTTTAAAATATAATGAAATAAAAATGTCAACTAGCTGTTCAAAGCAAACCTGTAGTGATATTTGTCAATTAAGTCAACGGGATATTTTTTGGTCGGAAATACAATTTAGAGTTTCCCAAAACATTGCGTGTTTCCATCACTGATATATCTAAATAGTTGACTGGATATAGCTTCTATGACGGTAAAAAGTTAAGCCAAATTATATTTACGAAAATCAGTTCCGGGGACCACGGAGTGATACAAATTACAGTAGAAAATAGAAATGTATGGCGAACAACGAAAACTAAGGTGAATTTTGCCAAACTTAAGATACTTTGCGGAGTTTTACGAAGCTGGTCGCTCCATCCTAAAATATCGTCACTTTTGTTCGTTCAAAATGACCACGCGGGACAGTACGCAGGCAGAATTGTATTTTGCAAGTTAAAATTTGAACTTTCAGTTGCAGAGTGTATATCGTTTTATATATAGTGCAGTGACTCCAGAGGAAGAGTGTAATCATTAATTTTGATAATTCGTTTTGAAACATTGATCGCAATAACCAGGAGCGTAGGAAGCATCAAAAGATTAGGGGGGTGGGGGGAACCGAAAAGAAATTTTTTCCCGTCATACCACACCGAAATTGCACGTTCTTAACCAAATTGTTTTTAAAAACATCGAAATTTCCAAACAAAAGGGGCGCCATAGATGTTAATTTAGTATTTACAGCGACATTAACTTGTACAAAAAGGGCACTTTTATCACAAAAAAGGGCACTTTTGGTCCTTTGTGAAAATTGGGGGGGGGGGAGCACATGCTCCCTGTGCCCTCGGTTCCTACGCCAAGGGAGAAACATCGAGTTCCTTGTCAAGTTTTGGGCTCGAAGCGAAGCGACCAAAGCTAGTAATAACAAATTCAATGGAACCCACAAATTAAGATTGGCAACGGTTTTGAAACCAATTTCGATAAGTCAAGTGTATCGAGTATGACAAAGTTTTCCTACTCGAGAGAGTTATTGGATAAAATGTCAAACCAACTATCGAAGCCCTGCCCTTTACAAATGAAGCCGCTATAACCGTCCGAAAAGTACTCACCAGTCAAAGTACGGAAAAGAGTCTGAAATTGTCAAAGCGTACGCTAAGCACATTTTGGATTTGCCTCACATGCATCTCGGATGCAAACTTTGGAAAAATTTAGTGAGAAACGTTCCTATTGTGTTCAGTCATTAGAGACAAATGAGAAGCTAGAACAAGTAAATGGTAACGTTGCAATAACATTGGATAAATTAGCTGGAATACGAAGCTATTTGGTTCGGATTGGCCCGAAATTGGAGGACTGGCACTATAACAACCTAAAGTTGTCACTGGACAAAATCCCATATCGATAAAGATAGACGCTCGTCCACGAAACCGTGACAACAAGGTATTCGATACAAAGCTGGGTGCAACCAACCGAAAGAAGGGAATCGCCTCATGACTGCAAATAATGGCGAAGGAACACTTCCGATTGTGATAGTGAGGGTGAATGGGGTAACCTGCAGACCCTTGTGGATATGGGAGTTGGCAGCTCAATTACATGCCAAAGAAAAATTCATATAGAAGATTCCGAAATTCTGAACCCTGGATCATTTGAAAACTAGAAATTTAAGATATTTAGAATAAGATTATTAGAATAATTAAACATTCATATAGAGGGTTTAGAAATTCTGAACCCTGTATCCCCTGCAAACTGAATAATTATCAGCATATGCGAAACAAAAATTCATGAGGGATAAGTGTCAGTAAGTGCATCTGATCAGTATTTTTTTATTTCCATTCCAGCATCCTTTCCATTTTTTACAAATTCAACTAAAGCTTCTTTTTTTATACGAATTGAGATCGTTTAATTTAAACAATTCACACACTTTCTTGAACGCTTCCTCGAAGTTCGCCATCTTGTTTATTTCATGGCGCGTAAATTTGTTAAGGTGAATGTCAACATCTCGGATTTTAGGAGCTTGGCTCTGATTGGTCATACAAAGGGAACGGAATGTGTCGCTCGTTTGAGCAGGCGTTCGTGCGGATGGGGCGGGAATGCCCGCAAAGAACCCCTGCGAAGGAGGCTAGGGTTAGAATTAACTTAGGATAGGTTAGGCTTAGGGTTAGGTTAGGGTTACGATAGGGTTGGTTAGAGTTAGTGTTAGGTTAGGATTAGGTTAAGTTTAGAGTTAGATTCGGGCTAGGTTAGGGTTAATTTGGGGTTGGGACTAGGTTAGGCTAAGGCTAGGGTTAGGTTAGGTTTAAGTTAGGGTTAGCCTTAAGTTACGTTTACTGTAGGTTAGGTTAGGTTAGGGTTATGTTTAACTTAGGGTTAGGGTTAGGTTAAGGTAAGGTGAAGTTAGGTTGGAGTTAGGTTAAGTTATGTTAGGTTAGGTTAGAGGTTAAGTTAGAGTTAAGATCAACTTAAGGTTAGCGTTAGGTTAGAGTTAGGTTAACTTAGAGTTACTTACTTGTTTAAGGTTAACTTAGGGTAAGGGTTAGGTTAGGGTTAGGACAAGGTTAGGCGAGGGTTACGGTTAGGTTAGGAGTATGGTTAACTTAGGGGTTAAGTTAGGATTAAGATAAGGTTAGGTTAGGGTTAGATTAGGTTAGGTTAGGGTTAGGTTAGGATTAAGGTGAACTTAGGGTTAGGGGTAAGTTAGGATAAGTTTAAGTTTAGAGTTAGGTTATCATTAGGTTAGGGTTAATTAACATATGAAAGCTCGGTCGAACTTTACTCACTCCAAATATATTCTGCAGTACTTAGTGAACTAATTCATAGGCCGCCCTTCTGACATGCGTGATTATTTTGTCCATAAAGTTGCACACATGAAAGGTTCGCCGTCTGAGACGGGTCTAAAATTAATGGAGTGCTACCGCTTTTCACACCATATCATTCCAGCTATAGAAAAATAATTTTTGAGATTCATCATGATCGTGTCGAAAGCTTTTTCTGGTCCGAAAACAAAACTCCATTAATTAAGCTTTCATCCAAATTAATAAGACATTCATTATTAGATTGCAGCAGTGTCGTTTCGTTTTAAGATGGCTCCATACAATTTTCTAAATTTTAAGTATTTTAGGTAACATTCGTTTTCAATCAAAATTATATTGATACAATTAAGACAGGGCAATATTATTATTTCCAGAAAAGCTCAGAAGTCTTGTGCTATCAATATATGAATAAATTGGAACGGTGGTAATGTTGCCATGGCAACCATGACGTTTCATATTTTGTATTTTTATTGTCTACTTTCACAATCAAAGACAATATCCTTTTTTCTTCCCTCAATTTTTCTAAAAAAAATTTTTGAAATAATGGTTGATAGAGGAATAACATTTGAAGGGAGGTTTACAACGGTTTATAATCAATATAGAAAATACGTTTTGTAGAATTTCTTAGAATTTTGATACGTTTGACTGATCAACATGCTTAACAAATCTGCGGAGTTTAAAAAAATTTCACCAAAGAAAACGCGAGAAAAATAGCCCTATCAAGCCCAATTCAAGCTACATACGTTATAAAATATCCATTTGACCTAATCGTTATTTGCGCGTGCGTGTAAATTATGATGTGTGAACAACATAGGCTAATTATAACCAATCAAATAACGTGATGTAAAGATAAAATTATATTGTAAAGATAAATGCAGAAGTAAATACAATAGGAAATTTTATTGGCTGAAATATTTGTGTTAGTACCAGTGAAATGAATATAACTGAAATGCACTTCCAACCAGAAATTTGATGGTCACAGTCTTTTCACGATTGCGTATAAAGCGCGGTAAACAATCAACAACATTAATAGTTATTCTTGAAAAATAGCTTCAAAAAGCATTTTTAATAGCGCTCATGGCTTTCTATCAATGCATTTATTTAGGTAAAATTTCCAGAAAACTTTACTTTTAGTTCTTTATTATTTTTTGCTAATAATAGCGGCGTGCTCGGGAAAGAATCGCGCGGCATAAACACACGAACCTTGACCACCAGACACGCGCGTGTCTGGGGATCCGATCTGGCTTCAAGAAAAAGAAAAAGGCATTTCATCTGAAAGTAGCGTTTCAGTTATATTAATTTCACTGGTTAGTACACATTATTGATAGGCCTACATGTAAATTACACAAATGCAATTGTTCATTTTAAGTTACAACAACTGAAATCAAGGTTTGCCGCTTTAGTTCATAAAAATCTCAGTGTCGTTTTTTTCACACTGTCACAGTTGTTCTTTTCTCTTACGCAGGGTGCCTAAAATAATTCTTATACTGTAATACACATGTTTATGTCTTAATCCGAATCCGATGATTGACCAGACGTAGTGGAAGTAAGAGGACAGCTTGTTCTTCAGCAGGAGCCTATTGCGCAATGTTAGCGTTGAAAGAGCTCGAAAAGTTTCGACGACCAGCTAGTCCCAGGCTCTCTCTTCGCTGCTTTGATATATTTAAATAAGTCTTACAAGTTTTATGCCTGGGTGTGCTGTGCGGAACGCTTCAGCGAGAGAGCCTAGCAGATTTCGGTAAAATGGTCCCTGATTTCAAAAAAGTGGTCCCTGGCCTGGTTACCAAGCATACAGCATTTTGTAAATAGAAAATGTTATGGAATTTCCGTTGCGTTTATAATTAAGTCATTAGTTTTGCTCTAATGCTGTCGGAACAATGAAATAGGCTACGGTTCGCTACCATACGGTCAGAATGGAATAACGGGCTAAATATGACTCGTGTTTACTAAAATATAAAGCCATATTAAATGCTATCTAGAAGCTTCAAAATTATGCGGAGTTTCCGACTAAAAATGTTTGACAACACAGTCATGTCAGGCAAATATTTCCAATCCCCTCAGCTACTTAAACCTGTCAAGTAGAAAGCGTAGTTGTGTATACCAATACCGCGGTTTAGTGTTGATCACAACTTGCGAGTATATAAATAACATCAACGATTATACGACCATTGCTCAGACTCAGTAACGTAAATTTGTATATATTTTTTTTTTAATTGAGCAAATTTTAAAATTAATACAGTTTGAATTTGGTTACGTAGACATCGAACATGATCAACGAACATTGTCGTATTTACAAGCTTATTTGTATTTATAAATTTTCCGCCATATTAAAAACACTGAAATCTGCTAGGCGTTCTAAAGCACCTTTAGGGGTGACGTCACACCTAGGTCCCAGCCTCGTACTACATCCACGTTTTTTCTCGCGCTTGCTTCAGAACGACTGGACTAGGCTGTTCGACGACGATTCATTCTTAACAATTTGAGAAACGAGTTTCGGAATCTGCTGGATCTTAGAGCATAACAAAAAAAGTTAAGGCTAGAATTCATAAAAGTGAACAAGACACTGATGTCTTCAAGACAGTGAAGGGTTGTACAACTGCAATCTTCGCAGAAGCTTACCAAGTATATCAGTATAGTCGAGGGTCCATAGCAACACAACAGAGCTACGAGGACAATCAGGAATATGTTAGTAACCTTGGCTTCCAACAGTTGCCTGCTGCTAGTGATAGCGTTCGAGGAACTTATGGTTGTGTTGACAGTTGGAAGCGGGCTTCGAACTTGCGATGGTAAGTTTTTTTCTGTTGAAGTTGATGGAGCATTTTGTTCGAACGAATGTCTGTTTTGAGTTCTAGCATTTGGGTAATCTGTCTCTGTGATGACAGCTGAAGGGCTTTCGTGTTGCGATGGTTTATTTCCTCCTTCTCCTGAAGTTAAAAGAATCGACCTACACCGCCCATGATGGGATCTCATTTCACTCATACTAACTTTGTGCTTCACCAGAGTATATGTTCTACAAATTATTATTACACCCACTACCACAGAGCTGTTGGTAAATATGAATGCGTATGTAGAAAAACCAACATTAAGATTGATGTTAGGTAAACTCAAAGAAATCACCCAAATCATCGCTATTGTTAGCAAAATCCGTTTATTAGTCACCTTAGTACGATAAGTATTTGGTTTCCTTACAGCCAAATATCTTTCAACAGCGAGACTTGAAACGCTAAGAATGGATGCTGTACACGAAGTGAAGTAAACTATGTAGATTGCTATTGATTCTTCAGCGTCAACTCCGTCTTCCAAACCTTCTGTGATGTG